CGCCCCCCATCCCCCCCTCCCTATTGGCTGCAGGCCGGGCGCGCGTCAGCCCGTGCCGATCACGTGAGGGGAGGAACTACAACTCCCAGGAGCCCATGGGCGGTGAGGCCCGAGTGGATCCCGCGAGAGGTGAGGGAACTCTCGCCACCAGGCCCCCTGGGAAATGTGGTTCCCAAAGACCTCCCGGCAACTACGTTTCCCAGCGCGCCTTGCGGCGTGTGGGCGGGGTGGAGTTTTTGCTGTGATGCTGGTTACCATAGCGACCCCGCGAGTTCCAGATAGGGGGGCAGAGAGGAGCAGAGATGGTGAGTGTGAAAATGTTTGCACTGAGTGTGAAAAGAGGGGCCAGGGGCTGGTGGATGTGCAAATCTGTGCAGGGCTCTGGTGGGGGTGAAAGGAGAAGTCTGGAACCAGTGGGTGTGCAAATCTGTGCAGAGCTCTGGTCGGTGTGAAAGGAGATGCCTGGAACCAGTGGGTGTGCAAATCTGTGCAGAGCTCTGGTCGGTGTGAAAGGAGATGCCTGGAACCAGTGGGTGTGCAAATCTGTGCAGAGCTCTGGTCGGTGTGAAAGGAGATGCCTGGAACCAGTGGGTGTGCAAATCTGTGCAGAGCTCTGGTCGGTGTGAAAGGAGATGCCTGGAACCAGTGGGTGTGCAAATCTGTGCAGAGCTCTGGTCGGTGTGAAAGGAGATGCCTGGAACCAGTGGGTGTGCAAATCTGTGCAGAGCTCTGGTCGGTGTGAAAGGAGATGCCTGGAACCAGTGGGTGTGCAAATCTGTGCAGAGCTCTGGTCGGTGTGAAAGGAGATGCCTGGAACCAGTGGGTGTGCAAATCTGTGCAGAGCTCTGGTCGGTGTGAAAGGAGATGCCTGGAACCAGTGGGTGTGCAAATCTGTGCAGAGCTCTGGTCGGTGTGAAAGGAGATGCCTGGAACCAGTGGGTGTGCAAATCTGTGCAGAGCTCTGGTCGGTGTGAAAGGAGATGCCTGGAACCAGTGGGTGTGCAAATCTGTGCAGAGCTCTGGTCGGTGTGAAAGGAGATGCCTGGAACCAGTGGGTGTGCAAATCTGTGCAGAGCTCTGGTCGGTGTGAAAGGAGATGCCTGGAACCAGTGGGTGTGCAAATCTGTGCAGAGCTCTGGTCGGTGTGAAAGGAGATGCCTGGAACCAGTGGGTGTGCAAATCTGTGCAGAGCTCTGGTCGGTGTGAAAGGAGATGCCTGGAACCAGTGGGTGTGCAAATCTGTGCAGAGCTCTGGTCGGTGTGAAAGGAGATGCCTGGAACCAGTGGGTGTGCAAATCTGTGCAGAGCTCTGGTCGGTGTGAAAGGAGATGCCTGGAACCAGTGGGTGTGCAAATCTGTGCAGAGCTCTGGTCGGTGTGAAAGGAGATGCCTGGAACCAGTGGGTGTGCAAATCTGTGCAGAGCTCTGGTCGGTGTGAAAGGAGATGCCTGGAACCAGTGGGTGTGCAAATCTGTGCAGAGCTCTGGTCGGTGTGAAAGGAGATGCCTGGAACCAGTGGGTGTGCAAATCTGTGCAGAGCTCTGGTCGGTGTGAAAGGAGATGCCTGGAACCAGTGGGTGTGCAAATCTGTGCAGAGCTCTAGTGAGTGTGAAAGGAGAAGTCTGGAACCAGTAGGTGTGTAAATCTGTGCAGGGCTCTGGTGCGGGTGAAAAGTGAAGTCTGGAACCAGTGGATGTGCAAATCTGTGCAGGGCTCTGGTGGGTGTGAAAGGAGAAGTCTGGAACCAGTGGGTGTGCAAATCTGTGCAGGGCTCTGGTGGGGGTGAAAGGAGAAGTCTGGAAGCAGTGGGTGTGCAAATCTGTGCAGGGCTCTGGTGAGTGTGAAAGGAGAAGTCTGGAACCAGTAGGTGTGTAAATCTGTACAGGGCTCTGGTGCGGGTGAAAGGAGATGCCTGGAACCAGTGGGTGTGCAAATCTGTGCAGGGTTCTGGTGGGTGTGAAAGGAGAAGTCTGGAACCAGTGGGTATGCAAATCTGTGTAGAGCTCTGGTGGGTGTGAAATGAGATGCCTGGAACCAGTGGGTGTGCAAATCTGTGCAGGGTTCTGGTGGGTGTGAAAAGAGAAGTCTGGAGACAGGGATGGATTAACTCTTTTGGGGCCCAGGGCTATTAGATTTTGTGGGTCTCCCTAGGTTCTAGGTGGGGCCAAAAATGAAGGGTTCATAGTGCAAGAGGGGGCTCCAAGTGGGGGCAGAGGGTTGGGGCACAGGAGGGGGTGAGGGCTCTGTGGTAGAGCTGGGGATAAGGGATTTGGGATGCAGAAGGAGGCTCCAGGCTGGGGCCAAGGGGTTTTGGAGTGCAGGAGCAGACTCAGCTCAAGAGGTGGGGATGGGAATGCAGGGTCTGGGCGAGAGTTAGGTGTGGAAGGTGGAGGTGGGGGTGGACAGGAATTTGTGCCGGGGCAGGAGGTGAGGTTCAGGGTCTGGGTGGAGTTAGGGTGCAGGAGGGGGATTAAGATAGGAGGTGGGGTGTGGGATCTGGGATGGGAATTAGGGTGCAGGAGGAGCTCAGAGCTGGGGTGGGAGTTGGGATGCAGGAGAGGGGCTCCGGGGATAGGGATGTGGGGTCTGGGTGGGAGTTAGGATGCAGTAGAGGGCTCAGGGCCAGGCCAGGTAGGGAGTTGGGATGCAAGGTACTTCCCTGCGGCAGCTCCCCTCTAGTGGAGCAGGCCCTGGGGAGGGGAGGGAGCAGGTGGCTCTATGCGCTGCCCTGTGCTTGCCAGCAACCCCCCCCTCCTCCTCCCCGCAGCTCCCATTGGTTGTGGATTTCTGCTAATAGAAGCTATGGGGGCAGAGCCTTCAGGTGAGGCAAGTATACAGATGGCACTTCCTGGTGCTTGCCGCTTCTGCCTAGCGGGGGCAGCAGCACGTAGAGCCACTGGGGACCAGAACACTGCAGCCCCTACTGACTGTGAAAATCTTTGCAAGTGTGTGTGTGAGAGAAGGGGACCAGGACTAGTAGGCATGAAAATCTGTGCAAGGCTCTGGTGAATGTGAACAAAGATGTCTGGAGCTAGTGGGCGTCAAAATCTTCAGGACACTAGTGAGTTTGAAAAGTGGGCTCCGAGGCTAGTGGGTGTGAAAATCTGTGCAGGACACTGGAGTGTGTGTGTGAAAATCCAGGTAATTGCTTGATGAGTGTGAAAGGCGATGCCAGAACAAAGTGTGTGTGAAAAGCCAGGTTCTGAGCATACTAATTATTCAAGGGCATGCCATGTGAAATCACAGTGCTGTAAATATAAATCTATGATGTCACAGAGCGTGCAGCTCTGTGAACTGGGTGTGCAACTCTGTGCAGGCAGCAGCTTGGGTGTGCAGCTGCAGTCAACTTCCCGGTTCCCTGGGCCTCACTTCTGATGGAGAGAGGTAACTAGTGGTGCCCCCAAGGGTCCGTACAGGGACCAATCCTATTTAACCTATTTAAATGGTCTGGTGAAATGGGTAAACAGTGAGGTGGCAAAATTTGCAAAGATTACTAAACTGCTCAAGATACTTAAGACCAAAGAAGACTGGCAAGAGCTTTAAAAGGATCTCTCAAAACTATGATTGGGCAACAAAATGGCAAATGAATTTTAATGTTGATCGATACCAATGCACATTGGAAAAATAATCCCAACTACACATATAAAGTGATGGGACTAATTTAGCTACAACTACTCAGGAGAGAGATCTTGGAGTCATTGTGGATAGTTCTCTGAAATCATCCACACAGTGTGCAGCAGCCATCAAAAAAGCAAACAGGAAGTTGTGCAGACCAGGACTTTCACAGGGTCCAAAAAAGAACTAGATACATTCTGGAGGTTAGGTCCATCAATGGTTATTAGCCAGGACGGGCAGGGAGGGTGTCCCTGGCCTCTGTTTGTCAGAGTCTAGAAATGGGTGACAGGGGAGAGATCTCTTGGTGATTCCCTGTTCTGTTCCCTCCCTCTGGGACATCTGGCATTGGCCACTGTCAGCAGACAGGACACTGGGCTAGATGGACCCTTGGTCTGACCCAGTGTGGTCATTCTTATGTTCTTATGATGAAGCAGCATCCATTTCTGGCATGACTGAACGGAAAGCATGGCAGCTCTTCCCATAACTAGGCAAGACAGGTTCTTATATGGACCTCCTCAGTCCTCACCCTGGTATCAGAGTACCTTAAAGTGCTGGTAGCCTACAAATCTCCCAGGCAATGGACAGTATGGTGGAGCCCTGTGCAGATACAAAACTGGTATCTGGTCTGCAAAAATTGGTCCTGCCATGAGAGCAGGAGACTGGACTCGATGACCTCTCGAGGTCCCTTCCAGTCCTAGTGTGATTCTGTGATTCTATGAAAAATGATGCACGGATAGCTGCATTCACATCTGCGGATGTGGATACCCGTGGATAGAGAGCAGATATCCACGGATTTAGAAGGCTCTAGGAATTGGTGTCCATGTCCCAATTGCCAGACCACACTCTGTCCTCACTCAGATCTGGTCAGCCCCACGCTCTGTGGTGACATCCTTTGTGTGGTAATTGTTGTTTTCCCAGCCTTGAGAAGAGTGTGAGCACCCCTGAAACCGAGAGAGACCTGTATTAAAGGGCTCTGGCTCCAACATGGGAGACCAGCTCTCCATGTCTTTCAGAAGGATCCTCGCTGCACAAAGGACATCACCAGTCCTGTCGTGCTATTTGCAGAGTAGACATTTTCGAAAGTGTCCCCTGTAATGCCATCCACTCTTCTGCTGCATGCCAGGTGGCTGCTGTTCTGCTCCAGGCGTGGCTGATTTCAGTGGCACAGTGATGTATAGAATCATAAAATACTAGAACTGGAAGGGACCTCGCAAGGTCATTAAGTCTAGTCCCCTGCCCTCATGTGAGGACCAAGCACTGTCTAGATCATCCCTGACAGGAGGCTGTTGAACCTGCTCTTAAATGTCTCCAATGATGAAGATTCCACAACCTCCCTGGGCAATTCATTCCAGTGTTTAGCCACCCTGACAGGTAGGAACTTTTTCCTAAGGTCCAACCTAAACGTCCCTGGCTGCAATTTAAGCCCATCGCTTCTTGTCCTATCCTCAGAGGCCAAGGAGAACATTTTTCTCCCTCCTCCTTGTAACAAATGTTTAGATACTTGAAAACCGCTGCCATGTCCCCTCTCAGTCTTTTCTTTTCCAAACTAAACAAGCCCAATTCTTTCAGTCTTCCCTCATAGCTCCTGTTTTCGAGACCTTTAATCATTTTAATCACAGTGATCTCTGGGGCATTGTTAGATGCTTTGCGCAGGGGAGCTGGAACCCTACAATCCCTACGTGGTGCTCCCCAGTGATACGCTTGGGAAGCTGAGTGAACGTTTTAAGCAGCTTTGAGCCCTTTGCACAGAAAATGCGTGAGACGTGCCCAGGGCTGGTGGTCCTCAAGCGCTTGTGAACCGAGAAGCACAGTTTGAAAACCAGCTCTCAGAAGAGTAAACAACCTGTGGGGAATCAGCACGCTGCGGCAAAGGCGTTTCCTCGGGCATGAAGAGGCTGAGGGCTGCAAGGGCAAAGCTGTGGAGAATAGCAATCCTCCGGGCTAGCCAGAACCTCACAACCATGCTGGGAAGCGAGCCACAACAGCATGGCTGCCCTTCCATGGATTCATTGGCCCTTCTGCATAGCACAGGCCAGAGGATTTCACCCTGCCTGTGCTGGGGGTGTTAATTTGGGTTTGGCAAACGCACTTTCCGGAAAGGCCTGGCTCGAAGAGACGGAGAATCCACCTTTTCCCTGGCGAGTTTGTTCCAATGCCTGGTTGCCCTCGCCAGTGAACCCTCGCGTTGGATGCCATTTTTCTCATTTCAGTGTGTCCGGCTTGAATGTCTCTCACACCCAGGCCTTTTTCCCAGCCCACGGATCATTCAAGTTTTAAACACGCTTTTACAAATGGGGCACCCGCACTGGAGGCAGTGTCGGCTGTTAGGGGATCAGTATCTAGTCTTGCCACTGGCAGAGGGGAATTCGCCTCCACCCCGACTCACCGCTCCTCTCTTTATGCAGCCACAGGCCACGTTAGCCCTGTCGGGGGGGAAAGTAACTTACATTTCTTACAGGTACTGTCAAATTGCAACGCCTTCCCCTTGGGGGTGGGTGGAGTGCAGGGCGCTCAGGGCAGGGGGGTTGGGATGTGGGGTAGGGATGTAAACGGGTTAACCGGTTACCTTAATGGCTAATGCTTACCAGATAACGGTTAACCCCAGGAGCAGGCCCCGATCTGCGGTGCTGCTGGCAGAGCCCCCCACAAACACACCCTAACCTGGAGTGCTCCCCCTTTAATTGGTTAACTGGTTAAACTGGTTAACCAGTTAAATAGGATTTTACATCCCTAATGTGGGGGATGCAGGAGTCAGAGCCGGGAGTTGGGTTATAGAGGGTGCAGGAGTCAGAGCTGGGGGCTGGGTTATGGAGGGTGCCGAAGTCAGGGCAGGGGATTGGGTTATGGAGGGTGCAGGAGTCAGAGCTGGGGGCTGGGAGGTGTGGAGGGCTCAGGGTGGGGGTATAGGAATCAAGGCAGAGGTGGGAGGGCTCAGGGTAGGGGCAGGGCTCCCCTCTCCATCTGCTACGGCAGCTGGGAGCTGCAGGGTGACCATATTTCTCAAAGAGAAGACAGGACACCCCATCTACTCGCCCAAGCGCCCCTCCTCCCTGAGTCTGTTGCCTGCCTCTGGAACCCTGAGGAGGGTGGCCTAAGGAGGCTGGCGGGGGGAAGGGGGGGTCACAGGAATGCTGGGGCCCTGCTGGTTGCCCTCGGCCCCAGGGCAAAAGCCAAAACCTTAGCCGTGCTTAAGGGGGGAGCGCCAGGCTGCGGGGGAGATTGAAGGTAAATTCCTTTGTCTCTACCTCAGCTGCACAGATACCATGCAGAGCCAGCCAGCGTGTTTCTGGGCACCGCTGCCCCCTCCTGGATGGCATTAGGCCGGCTCAGCTGTGTGTCATGAGCCCTGTTCTGAGGAAGAGGCTCTGCTAGCTCAAGTGGCCGGGCCCTGGGCATGGGTCCCCAAAAAAGCTGTGTTGTCATCCTGCTGCAGCCACGAGGCACAGGCCGGCTTTGTTGAAATCCCTCTCCTGTGGTTTTCCCTAGCGTGGCCTGAAAGATGACCTTGCGATGGGATTTCTGTAAGATCTCGCTGCAGGCACCTCCTCTGGACTATTCCTTCCGAGGCATCAACTTCATCCAAGGTGCGACTCTTACTCCGCACAGCAGCCTAACGCAGACTTGCTGGGGGGGGGGGGGGGGGGGCGCGAGGCCCG